ATGATGATAAGGAATTTTTTGAATGAAATCATTATAAATATAAACCTCTCGTTTTCGCCTCCAAATGCAACGATTTTGTTCGTATCTATCTTAGAACTGGTTGCTTGAGATGGAATTTTCTTGTTTGTGAATCAATTAAACATCAAAATCTTTGGAGCCTATAAGAAATCATCAATTCTCATTCCACCTTTTGTTTGTATCCATTTGACGATATAAAGACAATTTATCGTTCGATTGGCTTTTGCGGATTTTAGGTTTATGAGATCTCGCGATTTTTCTCATCATAAGAAGCATTCAATTGTTATTCCCCTTTTTCTTGTATTCATTTGACGATTATTGGCATTATATCGTTGGATCGGCTTTTACGATTTTAGTTTTAGGAGATCTCGCAATTTTTCTCATCATAGGAAGCATTCAATTATTATTCCTCTTTTGCTTGAATTCATTTGACGATTATCGGCATTGGAAAAAAAAAAGTTTAGGAGATCTCGCGATTTTCTCATCATAAGAAATATTCAATGTCATTTCTCATTCATGTGTCAACATTTGGCGATTATCGGCCGGTTTTCACAATTTTAGGTTTAGGAAATCTCGCGATTTTTTTCATCATAAGAAACATTCAATTGTTATTCCCAACTCTTTCATCCATTTCCAAGATTTTATTGTTGGAATTGGCTTTCGCTGTTTTTTAGGTTAAGGATATATCATGATTTTTCGTATGTCTGGAAGCCGAGATCTTGTTCTTCGACTTATCCTTTGTTTAGATATATGGTTCCTTCTCGTATTGTGATAGATAACTATGTGTGTGGTCAATATTACCGCACCTAATAGTAAGTTTTGATTTACTTTTTATGGTATTTCCGGTTGCAAATTTTAATTTCTCTAAAAATCAATGCTTAGCCAAAAATATTTTCCCAATTCGCGGTAGCCTGAAATGACATCCAATCATTTTTTGTGGCCCAATGCAAGTATAGAAATGTATCTAGGTAAGATTCATGTATATGGAACCAAAATCTAATATTTTGGAAAACCGAAATTTTGTAATTAGGCTTGTTTTGATCTTATCGATCGGTTTTCTAGTTCTTTCGTTTCGAATTTCGTTAGATATGCACCATTTGACTATACCTTTATTTTGACCCCAAAAAGGCAAAAAACAAAAAAAGGCTATACTTATAATTTGTGGTCCATAGGTGAAAACTATTTTACTGAAAACTTTAACTTAAAAATTTGGAATGTTAGAAACTTATATACATTAGTAGATGAGGACTATTTATAACGTTTTTGAAATTTGAAAAACTTATATTATCTCTGTCTATCTTTTCTCCCATGGCAGAATAAGAACGATAACGAGATCTTGCCGCTGCTGTTATGGGATTCTCCTGGTGTTGTGTCCATGCTGTTGGGGGTTAAGTACTGACTACTATGATGTCGCGCAAATGACTAATGCCGAGTGATCTGTTTTGGCTTTTTAAACCGATTAGATTGACTAAGACATATTTTCTAGACCTTACCATATTTTGTTGTAAATTTTATCTCTCTTTGTGATACTCACTTTGAACTTTATTCATTTTCTGTAGGAAGTCGCTAACTCCTACCGGCACATCCGACATCCAGTTTTCATTCAACATCATACGATAATGCGGTTGTACAATGTTTTGCTTTTGTTCCAGGTTTTGTTTAGTCACAGACTTTTTTTCTTTCTTTGTTTAAGAACCATTTCTTTAATAACGGTTTGAGCCTTTAATTGGCTATGCGATGCTATCATCTTCTTTCCCTGTTACAGTGCATAGCTCATCACCCAGAGACAAGAAGCAAGTTTCTTAGAGGTATATATCTTTCTCCATTTTAGTGTAACAAGACCATTTTCTATATTACATGTTACACTGTCTTTGAAATTTCATAGCTTATGTTGGTTTGTTGTAGCTAAGTTGCCACACTATTTTTATCCTTTGATGGAGATTCGTTACACCGATAGGCCTTTCGATTGGATAAGGATTGGTGCATTGGGTGTTATTGCTAATCTGTTGAAGTCGGTACGCCTAAATACATATTCTAAAACGTATTCTTTTACGTTAATACATATCTCTGTTTTGTCACAAAAAGCTTTTATATTTCTCCTAAATTTACTTTGAACATTTCACTTCTCTATACAGCCTGTAGACGAAGCTGCTATTCGTTTCCTTATGGACACATCTGCTTTGAATCATTGCACTAGACCCATTGAGATTGGCTCTACAGAATCGAAAAAGGTGACTTTTTCCTTCGCGCGGTTGTTCTCATTTTTTTTTTTTTTAACTATTGATTAATAGAGAGTAAAGAAACTAATTAGTACTTGTGCAGCTTGTTGTATTCATACTTCAACAGATTATGTCGACTAACGAAGGGCTTCAGTACTGCTGCGTCTTGGTTGATCGATTTTTCGCCATTGATGATCTCCTTAAAAAGGTGCTCATGCATCTATCTACCATGACTACGCCTTCTTCTACCTTGCTCAATCTTGTTGCTGCTTGCTACGCCCGGCTCTCTCTGAAACCAAGGTTTTTCTTATGCTACACATGCATTCTTATCTTTTCTTCAAATTTTGATTCTTCAATACAAATGTGTGAGATTTTTCTAAAGCATACACAACAAGTTTTGATTTTCTTGATATGCATTAGGGCTTGTGATGCATTAAGGCGATTCCCTCCTGCCATGCTTTTGGACGGCACCTTTGCCAATTTACTTGCTGTAAGATTGACATTAAGTCTTAAGTTCCTTATGGTTCTTGGTTCTTGCATAAATAGTAAAGTAAAGGTTCAGAGTTTTTGTTTGATTTTTCTTTTAGGAGGACACATCTACTGATTATTATCGGAAGCAGCTGATCCAGAATCTTGAAAACAGAGAAGTGTAAGAGAGATGAGATACTACGCGTCAACATTCAGAAACACAGCCACAACGAACGGGTTTACTACGCGTAACGCTAAAGTAATAACTACTAAGACATC